ATCTACTGTAATTAGATTGGTGACTACCCTAATAGTTATCAGAGAGCTTTCATCCAGTGACTGATGGAAGAAGATACAGAGATCCACAGCAAAGCACTGGGTCAAGCTCCCTGGGAGTCCTGCTGGAGAAAGGGAAGAGGGTGTGTACAAGCCGGGGGGCGGGGGTCAAGGTCATGGCGGGAAAATCAACAGAGACAGCTGACCTGAGCTCATGGGAGCTCATGGACTCTGGACCTGAATTAGGGAGCCTGCAGAGAACCGACCTTGGCCCTCTGCATGTGACAGTCATGTAGCTTAGTCTTGTTTGTAAGGCTCCCAGCAATGAGTTCAGGACCTGTCTCTGGCACTTAGCTTCCTTTTAAGAACCTGTTCCCCATGCTGGATTACCTCATCCAGCTTTTATGGTGTGTGTGTGGGGGGGGGGGGGGGTCCTACCTTAACTTAATGTGCCATGCTTTGTTCAAGTCCATGGGAGGTCTGCCCCTTTCTGAATGAAGACTGAGGAGAGAAGATGGGGAGGGGAGTAGATGGGAGGGGGAGGAACCATGGTTGGTATGTAAAATAAATGAAAAAATGTTAATTAAATTTAAAAAAGAATTAGGTAAACAATCAAGGGAGACTCATAATTAAGTAAAAAATTGATGTATAGGTAGTATATGGTATAGGAAAAAATATAAAGTAATATGTTTCTTTTATATCATATCAAAACAAATATTTGAATGAGCCAAAAATTCAAATAGTTTTAAGGAGCCAGGAGGCAGACCCCCTCCAATAATTTTTTTTTGTGGGGGCAGGGCTGTGCATAGAACCATACTCTGTAGAATCTATTTTACTCACTGACCTGTTTAAGGACATGTTACCCAAATAAAAGATGTTTCTATCAAAAAATTACTTAAACAGGGCCAGGCGGTGGTGGCGCACGCCTCTAATCCCAGCACTCGGGAGGCAGAGCCAGGCGGATCTCTGTGAGTTCGAGGCCAGCTTGGGCTACCAAGTGAGTTCCAGGAGAGGCGCAAAGCTACACAGAAAAACCCTGTCTCAAAAAACCAAAAAAAAAAAAAAATTACTTAAATAGTAAAGTAGAAGAAAATGTGATGATTCATGCTGTCAACCTGGAGAATCAAGAATCTCACGGGAAAATGGCCTCTGATATGCATGTGGGGGACAAATGAGTTGACTGTATTAATTGAGGTGGGAATACCCACATCCTGTGGATGGCTCCATTCCCTGGCTGGGACCATGGGCTGCATGTATAGAGAAGGGAATTGAGCAGAAGCAAGCATCCATCAGTCTCTGCTCCCCGGTACTAGATATGATGTGACCAGCTGCTTCAATGTCCTTCTGCCTTGATTCCTACCTAATAGGAATAGACTGTACCTTGAACCGTGGGCTAAAACAAACCCTTTCTTCCTTAAAGGGTATTTGTGATACGTAAATGGTTTTCATGGGTTGCTAAGAGACAGACAATGCAAAAAAAAAAAAAAAAAAAAAAAAGAGTTCAAGAAATAAATAGGCCAATTCCTAAAAGAAAATTTGTATTTATCCCATCATATTAACAAAAATGAAATGATGACCACCATTTTTGACATGGCCCAAATATATGGGCAGTCAATCTTTCTTCTTTCTTCTTAATGCCCAGATGATCTTTCTTGAAAAAACTTGGCTGTGTTAGACATGTATGAGAACATGTACCTGGCCACTTACAAGGATAATTAAGTAGGCAGATTCACACAGACGGAAACTAACATGGGGCAACCAAGGGTTTGGGCCAGAAGGAGAAAGAAGAGGGAAGGGCCTGAGCATACCATCCCTTTGTGATACTGAGAACATTCTGGAAAATGATAGAGGTGATGGTTGCATGACATTATGAATCTACTTAATGTCACAGAATAGCATGCTTAAAAATGATTAAAATGGTATTTTGAATTTTATATATTTAAACAGTGTTCTAAGTCACATGACTATAAAATTTATTAAATCATTTCTTATTACTGAACACTTAGGTTCTTTCCACAAAAAATTGACATTAAAAAAAGCAATATAGCAGAAAAATTAATAAAAGTGCATGTTTTCCCCCAGCATTTTTAGCTGTGGTTACTTATCCTATGAACATAATGAAGAATACATGTAAAGAAATAACACTTTCTTGCCAGGGGGTGGTGGCGCACACCTTTAATCCCAGCACTCGGGAGGCAGAGGCAGGTGGATCTTTGTGAGTTTGAGGCCAGCCTGGTCTACAGAGCGAGATCCAGGAAAGACACAAAGCTATACAGAGAAACCCTGTCTTGAAAAAAAAAGAAAAAGAAAGAAAGAAAGAAATAACATTTTCTTCCTGGCATTGTTCATAATGGGAAAAAAATAAGAACCCTGAGCAACTAAAAGTGTGGTAGAAAATGAAAAAATAATCATTAAAAAATTATAAGGTAGATATATCTATAGGGAAATGGTTAAAAATGGTATTTGGTGACTAATGTCCTCATAGCGAAGAACCCGGGAGAATGCCCAGGTATGGAAGTCGGCTGTCCCTTTCGTGTTTCTTCCTGCCTTATCAATATTTCGTTTATGTTTTTGTTTGTTTCTACAGTTGAGCAGTAACTTTTTGTCAAAGGAAAGAGGCTAACAAAAGCCCTTAATTTTGAAGAAAATATTCTAAATCTTTTCCTGTTATCTTCTCTTCCTCAGAAGCAACACTGAGCTTTTGTGTGTATATGAAGCTACCCGAAAAGAGAGGGGCTGGAGAACACCACCGGGCAGGAGGCTGTCCTCGGCTACTGACTACACAGAACCAGCAACAATTCTTCCCTGGTCTAAATGGCTAGAAATTCGTTTCTACGAAGCCATCCCTTTCTAGTGTGCTTCTTAACTGTCCGCTGGACATGTGCTTCTCTTCCTGATAAGGACACGAGTTTTCTTTTACAAATCAGGAGAACTCTGACCCTGCACAATGAGGCTGCACGTGGAGGGCGGATAGGACACATCCAGCTAAGTAGAGCCTGCTAAACCCAGATCCAGGACAACCGTAATGTCTCATGAAGCACCCAGAGCTGACAGTCACAACAAGGCCACGCTGAGGTCTAAGCGCACAGGTCCCATCCTGAAGGTATTTTGGGTTGGTTGTCCTACACAGTAAGTTATAAATCTAGAACAGGAAACTTGAAATCATTAAAGTCACATATTTATTACATCATATTCAGTTAGGTTAGAAAAATGTAGTATCTTTCATCATGTCATAAAAAAATGTGTTTTCCTCTCAGATCTCTTATGAAGAAAAGCTCCCAGGATTGTTACAGATAGGGCTGTTTTCAATCAGTTACAGGGAACAATTCAATTACTCCATGGTTTAGTGCAGTAACTGACTCCAGACTAATTTAATTTCTTTAGGTCTCTAAAGATCAATTGATCTGATTTGTCCCATCCCCAAAGGCTATTTAGGAAAAATTCAGGCTTAAATACCTGGAAATGAAATCCAAAACCTTGGCCAGTTTCACACCACTTAGGTCATCTTGCAAACTTTCAGCTAGTCACATCAGAGTGCTCTCTTGGCCTTAGGACCATCGTAGGCCACTTAGCTCCACATACAAGTGAGTGCTCCCACATCAGAACGCTTATTTAATAAGTGGAAAATGTGGCCACATGCATTATCAAATCTGCTGTTCTAAAGGGCAGCCAGGCCGGGCTCCTATCTCATGAGCATGTGTGTAACTGGAGGGCTATTTTTACTCTAAGATCAGTTGACAGAGACCATTCAAAGTTCCCCGGATAGGGTCGAAAGGGTTAGACGCAAGGTTAGTCTAAGATGAGAGACTCAGAAACATTTTTGCATTTTTATAAACATCATCATCCACAATTCTCCAACCAACCTGCTCTCTGAAACTTAGGCAATAGATGTCCATCCAGCAACCTAAGGTTCATTCCTGGCTTCACCACCTCTGAACACTGGTCAGATTCTCCAGCAATTAGTCTTTTTTACTCAAACTCTCTGGCTCCCTACACAGCCTCTACATCCATTCCCTCCAATTATACCACCATTCCATGCTCTGCCGCTTTGGCAGGTTTAAGAAGAATCGGCCAGAAGTTGATAAAACATAATTAACCTTTCATTTGAGTTGCCAAGACTGGTTGGCCAGAAGTGCCAAGGTCAGATGTACCCATGTGGTAGGCAATAAAAAGAAAAGCAGAAATGTGTGGCAGTTGACAGGAGAGTCACACAAAGATATTCAGAGACAATACATAATGGGGCTGGTAGCTATGGGGTGTTCCACCCATCAGCAAACATATCAGACCCAGTATAGAGATGAAGGATAGAAATTTACCGTGTATAAAGAGTATAAATAAACAATTGGGTCAAAGTCTTCTTAAAAAAATACATTTCAGCATTCATAATGGACTGATAGCTATGGCTCTCAATCACCCAAAGGTCTCAAATGACAATGAGCAACTATCATTGTGAATGGGCTAAGTTTCACAGGCATGACTGTTTCTTGTCTGCTTACCAGTCCTCAGACTTGATATTTATTATTCCTATAATGTTAGCAGTCTACTCTACAGATAAAACTGTGTGACATGAAATGACATCTCCTTGTTCCAAGGTTCTGAACTGCCCCTCTATTCTTTGTGTTGACAAATGCATCCTGTTCTGACGGCAAAGGACAATAAAGTGTCCACTTCCCTGCAGAGCGCTGCTCAGTAAGACAATGTTCAGTTATAACTAGGAGTCACTCTCTGGTCACAGCAAAACCCGATGTTTTACAATGGCCTATGTGTTCATATCAAACAAACCTCTTTGCTGGGGAACCAAGCGTTTATGAGATTCAGCAGGAGCCACACTGGAGACTTAGGAGCTGTACAGTGACAGGGTTTTGGTTGGAAGGGAAGGTGTAGAGACGATGGAAACTACCGTACTGCAAGACCACGCTTCATTGGCATTAAAAGGCACATGTTCTTACAACCCACTCTTGAATCTTATCTGGACAAAAAAGCAAGCAGAAAATTCTCATTACCTCTCAATGTCAGTGAGCCTGGAGGAGTCCCGGAATCCTTTGGCAAACGGATTGCTGTCTATTTTCAGCTTGGTTATCTGGGAAGGAATGAATGGGTACAAAACAATCTCATTTCCAAGGTCAAAGAAACAGCATCAGAAATAGTTTTTCTTTTTTTCATTTCCCACAGATCCCAGTAATACAGTCATATCTGTAAGCATCATGAGAAGTGACTTGAGGGACAAGTTCACAGGGGTATTGGGTCATGGCTGCGATAGCGAAGGTTTGGTGGCCTTTCTGGCAAGGGTGGACATGAAGCTAGATTGTGAAGTATTTAAAATGCTAGGGTAAGGCTAGGACTCAACTGGGGAAGGGGGAACTATTTAGACGGGAGAACTGTGTAGAATTGTGTGGGGAGGGTGACAAATGAAAGCAAATGATGCTGTCTTATGTCTGGAAGCATCTCAGAGCTTTTTGAGCAGTTAAATATATGCTGTAATAGACAAGAAGATTAAATGCCCAATAATAGCCCATGTTCAATACTATACTGATAGTGATGTCTTTTACATAAACACAGGATATGAAGCTCTCAGAATACCAATTTACTGCCCTTATCCTTTCCCTCTGACTAAGTTAGAATCAAAACAGTCACTTTGTCAGCCTTGGTTTAACATCACCTGTGTAACTATGCTTATGGAGAAACAATCACTTTCTAGTAAGAATCCGTCTCCAACATCAAGTGTCTACACTTGGGAATTTATAAATCTTACAGTATTACTATTAGCACACGAAGCCCCGTTAGACCCTGGGTACCATGCCTCTGAGGAAAAACCACACCAGGCTGTGAAGCAAAAACCAGAGGAAGCACTGAGGAGAAGAGACTCGAAACAGCGATTCCTGTCAGCACTGAAAGGAACCTCCCAGAAAAGCAAGCCTATGCCCTCATCTGATGAACAGTCCCAGTGAGCGCAAGGACCCGATACAGCCCGTTCCTAACTGAATTACTAACAAGGAAGCCTTCCAAGAGGGTCTGAGCTCGTAAGATCAAATTTGGAATACAAGTTCATCTTTGGAGGGAGACACACAAAATATTCTGAGCAGGGAAAAGGGAATGTGGGATGTCTTCCTGTTTCACACTGATGAGAAAACAATTAAAACATGTTTTATATGATAACTATAAAATTTATAAAAATAATTGTATTATTTATTTATAAAACAAAGTTTTATAACAAATACTATTTGGAAAAAAAACTGATCAGGCGGTATGCAAAATTCAATGCCTCAAGTTTCTCTTTTACCATAAAGAAAGTTGTCATTTTCTTTTTAAAGTATGCTCAATGTGAACTGCATTTGCAAGGCTGCAAAGAAGCTTTTACCTCCCTTAACATGTCCTCCACCTCACAGAGAGACACTCTTCTCTACCTCCAACACTGGCAGGCCACAGAAGGAGCCTGTGACTATTGGGAGCCTTGAGGGTAACTGCTCAGAACATCCACTGGAGAGCAGCAAAAGAATAGTGAAGTTCCTTTTTAGCAAAATTATGGATACTGGTAAACAGGAGGGAAGTATGCTAGACAAATAAAACCTGTTCACAACGAAAAGCAACAACTAAAATATGCACAGAGCTAAGTCCTTGGAGGGCTGAGGTGGCTTGCACAGTGCCCATACCCAGCGCTTCAGGAGAATCTCTTCTCACATATGGCTGCCCTTCTGAAGACTGTCTGTTCAGCCATTTGTTCACACTTGAACTTGTATCTGAACGTCAGCTTTCAAGAAGAATGATACTGTTTATTCAATACAAGTTATAAAAATCTTTTAAAGCCTAGACAACAATTATGCTCTAAGATTCTAAGTCCCAGCAGGATTTCAAAATCTTCAAGGAGAAAAATGCTCTTCTTTCTGCTCAGCAACTGTAATTTAAAATACTCTAATAATGCCGAAATGTCTTAAGGCTCCTAAAATGTTTGGGCAATCATTAGCAGGCACCTATGTAATGAGGATTGGTTGCTCTGGTGCAGGGTAACACTGGGAAGAGAACACCTGCTCTCTGTCTTGAGAGAGCCTGAGGCTCTATGGAGCAAGTACAGAAAGACACTGGGAAGAGACCTGGGCGGGGATGTGGCTCAGCAACAGGAAAGGCAACTCCAACCCAGATGAGAATTACAACTGTGTGACCAAACAACCCAGGCAACTCTTGCTCTGAGTAACACAGTCTGAAATGGAGAAGTGACTGGATTTCCTGGTGGTTAAAATTGTCTGGACATGACGGCAGACGGTGTGTCTAACATGGAGGCTAACACCAGAAATTCCTGAAGCCTTTTCTCTTCGATGTGAACCATAGCAAGTTTTACTCGTTTGCAAATAAGCTACACCACAGAAAGAAGTATCTCTGTTATGATGGTTGCTTTGTCCTGGAAAGGATTTTGAAAAATTTGTACTTGGTTTTCATAGCTACCAAGGTTAAAGTTCAGTGGCTCTGAATGAGGTGAGTGTGGCTAAAATCATCCAGTGCCCTGATGTAAGTGGAGAAATGTATGCCAATTAATGTGTCTGTGATCTAACACTATTGCCATAACTTTCTGCCTGGGAATGAATTAAATGCAGCATGAGTTTCATTATTTCTTTAAATTATCTTTCATTACTATAATTATCTACCAGTAATTTTTTTGAACTTTACTCTTTATATAACCTTCACTGGTTGTCAATGATAGCCTTTTTTCTCCATGTCCTGATATAATTTCAACCTTTAGGAAAACTGTAAAAGAACATAGTCCACTGTATATCTAGACCTACTAATAAAGTGCAATGATGATTCAATTTAGAACATTAATGAGAAAAGAATGCAAGACAATCACTCAATGTTTACTTTCTCTATGGATGAGTTTGACTAAATCCAGAAAAAAAAAAAATCACTGGTTTTGAGCATTAGAGGAGGAGAAAAGCTGGCTGGATCTGGAATTGTGATTGTTTCACCTCCAGTGAATACAGCAGCACAGAGATTGTAGTTACACTTGAGAATCCACCTTTTGTGGCTCAGCTCATCCAGACCCAGCAGACAACCACAGTAGTAACTTCACACAAGTTTGTTGAGCTTTATATTAAGAACAAACCATCAAATTATCATTTAATGATTTTTACAGACTAGGTTAAATTGTGTGTTGCTAAAAAAGCATTCTATTTTGTTTTCTTATTTCAAGATAAGACAATACACACACATATACATACATATGTGTGTACATGCACTTGAATGTGTGTGTGTGTGTGTGTGTGTGTGTGTGTGTGTGTTGATTTTTGAAACAGGATCTCTCGACATACTCCTTGCTGTCCTGGAACTCACTATGTAGACCATGCTGGTCTCAAACTCATAGAGATCAGCCTGCCTCTGCCTCCTGAGTGTTGAAACTAAGGGTTTGTACCATCATACTCAGCTGTAAAATAATTTTTAAATAATAAAATTTTTTGCATTCTAAGTAACAACAGATCATAAAAAGGTCAGACATTAGTATTTAACTTAAAAATATGGAAACTTGCTTCTGAAGGTGTAGTTTGACATCCCTCCGTATTGAAGATAATGGAAAGACTGCCTATGGGAACAGATGAAAGGAAGTGGGTAGGTGCAATGACCTCACCTGGACCTCTGCCTAGGACGTTTGCAGCCTGCAAAGCTGCTGCTGCCCTGTGTTATCCTTCCAAAACCAGAGACACAGGGGTTTTTTTTTATTACTCAAAAACAATTTTGTTAGGATTTATTTTTATTTTATATGTATGTGTATGCCTGTGTGAGCTGATGTTTACCACGTGAGTGAGTGCCTGCAGGAGCCGGAAGAGGGCATCTGATCCTCCTCCGGAACTGGAGTCAGAGGCAGTTGAAAATTTCCATATGTGAATTCTGGGAACCAAACCCTGGTCCTCTGCAAGAGTGGTACATGCTCTAGATCAAGGCGCCATCTCTCTACTCCCCCAGTCGGTCTTTAAAAGCAGCAGTAGTCTTCACTTAGTGAAGAGACTTATTGACACATAAGAACGGCACTATGTACCTAAGAAGTCCCTCCACCTGTATGTTCGCGTGCACGCAGAGACTTGTGTTTTTACTGTCTCTACAATAACACAGAGCATGATGCACGTGATAACCAGAGAAATTCATTCTTCCCGCCGTTCCTGTCCTCTGAAAGTGAATGCACGCACAGTTAGAGGGCAGATGTTTGACGCCACCGGCTGTGCATTGAAGGACAACTTTACAGTGGTGATTATTCCTATCTGCTGTCACAAGACTGGACTCTGAACCCAGCTGGGGTCCCAGCCATAAGGTACAATTGGCCCTTGGAGACCATTTCTCCAATTATCAGGAAAAGATCTGACCAAAGGCATTTAGAAATGAAACCTGACCTACACTTCAACTCCACAGCAATGATCTGCCGGCTCAAAAACAATGCATGACCTTTAAATCTTAAATTATAAAATAGTTTGTTGAAAGTATAATGTATTTAGCGTTTATCTAATAATGTAAAGAAATGCAATCATCCCCTTGCAAAAAGCAGAAGAAGAAATGGGTAAAAAGGTCTCATTTTCATTAATTCTAAATAAAACTATCAGCCTCAATAAGTAAGAAGGTTTCACACACACACACACACACACACACACACACACACACACACACACACTCACACACATACTTTGGGGAACTTTTATTTGAATTTATCAGACATAAAAATAACAGTCATAACAAAAAAACAAAGGGAAATGGGTCCAAATGGGAACTTTTAAATCCTCAATTTCCATCTTAGTTCTTCATGCATGGATAACTTTTGGTTGATGGTATACATAGTAAGTATTTCCTTTGTGTAGTACTTATTTTACTGTGTTTATTATGGGTAAATTAATACACGCAGTATGGCAATGAGAAAGCAGTTAACTACAGGAGGTCTGCAGGTAGGGTAATGAGAAGACAGCATCCGACCTATTGAAAATGACAATTCCTGAACTGATTTCTAAGAGACCTGTATCAGTTTTGTTCACTGAAGGAAATCTATCAGCCATTTGAGAAACTGCCCTGCCATACTAAACCACACTTATGGATGGTTTTATGCGAAGGATGGCATTAAAGGTGGATTACAGAAATAAACTCGGGTCTAGTGAGGAAGAGACTTTTATCGTGAGCTCATCCATGGTGAAATGGGCTACTAATGCTATTAATCATTATACTTTATGATGCAGTAAAAGATTGATGGGCTCTTGTGACTGAACTTTGAACCCACTTGTACTATCAATTAGAAAACAAACATCAGTGAGAGGAGTGATGAGTGTTAGAATCTGCATTAGTTAGCATTTTAACTTATTTTAATATAGTAACATTTCAAATTCAGCTTTCAAGCTATTGACTTGAAAGTGATTACTTCATTGGCCTTGCAATCCAACCCAAAAGGTGGAGTTGGGAGCCAGAAGGTCAAACCTTCCTGTCAGATCTGGCCCTTATCAAATATGTAGCTGTGAGTGTGCGTCCTAACCACTTGGAACTTCAGTTTCATCATCTACAAAATGACACTCACAGGACTTCCGTTGGGGATTAATGTCAGAATTAAATAAGATTATTGAGGAGAATGTGAAAGGATTTTTCCGAATTAAAATAACCAGCCTAGAGTGTGAATTTTAGCTGGAGCATAATACAGAGGAGAAGAAAGATCACAATGGCCATTATTAGTCAATACTAAAATGTAAATGAACTGCCATAGTATGAAGGAATATTTCTAATTGATCTTCTGGGCTGTCATGAAGGCAATATGGTCACAACAACAACATCCTCACTGTGGGAGCATGCTTGCTGGATGGATCGGCCTCAATTGATGAGACTAGCATCTTTGTTTGGAATGGCAGAACAGTACAGACAGGGAAGAGAGGAGTGGACAGAGTGAAGCAAACTTGGTAGAAGTTCATTGTGAAATCTGAGTGGAGAGTTCATGGGGTTCATTTGACCATCTGTTTATAAGACTTCCTTTTTGTTTTTGTTTTTTTTTTTTTGTTTTTCGAGACAGGGTTTCTCTGTGTAGCTTTGCGCCTTTCCTGGAACTCACTTGGTAGCCCAGGCTGGCCTCGAACTCACAGAGATCCGCCTGGCTCTGCCTCCCGAGTGCTGGGATTAAAGGCGTGCGCCACCACCGCCCGGCTTAAGACTTCCTTTTTGACATGGAAGTTTTTCTGAGTAAACAGATTAGTGAAAAATTAATTCCATGAGACAATCACATTAATGCACGTGGTATCTATTGGCTACAGTGAGCCTAGCTGACACTTGGCCCTTTTGTTGAGGAGAACAACCCCCACATTACACTCGCCAGTAACTGTGAACACAACCCCACACAGCAGATAAACAGTGAGTACTTTGTGTGGGTGTGGGGGGGGCATATAATAACTTAAAACCCTCTGGGAAAGATGTCTGAGGGTCCATCAGGGCTAGAAGCTGAGAGAAAAAGCATTCTGCCCCCTGAGAAGGGATGCTCATCTCAGAGGTCAAGGACTACAACTGCCTTGTGACTATAAAATTCACACTCTAGGCTGGTTATTTTAATTCAGAAAAGTCCTTTCACAGTCTCAAGCCACCATCAGTGACTCATTTAACTCATGCCTCAATTTCCCCAACTGTATATTGCATAACAAAAGTACTATTTCTCTGATTTAATAACATTCCTGCAAAGATTAGATTAAATATATATATATATATCCTTTAAGTGGCACTCTGTGCAATAGCAAGCCCCCGAATTCTAGCCATCCTTATGTAATCGATGTACTACAGCAGAAGGTCTGCTGGTATTTTTTCAGGATGGCTCCCCTGCCTATGAAAACAAATCTAAGGCATTGAACGTGGAAACTCCCCTCCATATTTGTTCCAACCCATTGCATTTCAGTCTTTGAAAACAAAGTTGTAATTTACTTTTTCTCCCTTTGGCCCTCTTTAAAGGGAATTCTGAAAATGGCATTGAAATTTCCATGGGACAACTTTTTATTTCATCCCAAAACATCTACAAAGTTTTTTTAAAATGTTATGCATCTAGTATTGCATCATATAATTACACATTCACTTAGTGTAAATGAGCTTAGTATTTCTCTAGCCTGTGAGACCCACTTCCCACATGCTTTCAAATACCAGTGTGACTGTGGCTTCGATCTTCAGGGCTTTAGGGTGCTGTGGACTTTGGTCTATTCATAAAGTTCTACATTGATATTTTCTGAAAGTCTCTCATTTTGTGTTATCATTTTGGAGCACAAAAGAGATGACACTTTGTTTATATAATAAGGTAATTTACATAACAACTGTGCATTGATTTATCTTAGCAAACATGCCAATAAATTCTTATTTTCAATTATTTAAGTGTGTGTGTGTGTGTGTGTGTGTGTGTTTCCTAGGGATCTGACCTACTGAGTCATCTATGTGGAACAGTCACTGACATTTTCATGTCCAAATGTGGATGAGCACAGTTGGCATTCCTGAACAGTCCAACAACACGGTTCCCAAGACATGTTTGTACCCATCATCACATCTGAGTTTCACCACAGTCTCCAAAAATGGTCTGGTTGGGTCTTAGCCCCAGCTTACAAGTAAGGGAAATTGCAGTGATAGTTGTGAAATGAACCTCAACACAAGCCTTCTCCATCCTCTCTGGCTATTCTTAAATATGCCTTCTGTCTGGTTCCACTTTCTTCTTTTTTAAGATTTTATTTATTTATTTTATGTATATGAGTGCTCTATTTCAGAAGAGGGTATTAGATCCCACTATAGATGGTTATGTGCCACCATGTGGGTGCTGGGAATTGAACTCAGGACCTCTGGAAGAGCAGCCAGTGCTCTTAACGGCTGAGCCATCTCTCCACTCCCCGCAACCCCCGACCCCTTTTCCACTTTCTTATTTGCACAGAACTAACTGTACTTTCAGATTCCTCCTGCCTTTCGGAGTCTCTGAGTCCCCTCTGCCTACCCACCCATGTTGGATTCTCAGCCACTAGGCAGCGCCTGATAGTTATCCATTCAGAACCCACAACACACCAACAGTGTATGAAGAGGAAGACAAGCATCCTAGCTACTGAGAGCTAGTCAAACAAGAGCCTAATTGTTAACTAAATTAAGGTGCGAATACCTCTTACTAAGTACACTCAAAAGAATTCTACTTCCTGCTTTTTTTGCCTGCAGGAAAACTCTGCCCTCTGTGTTCCCCTCCGCTTCCTCACTGTTCAGCATCAGTGCTGCTTCGAACGTTCTGCCGACCAAGAAGGAATAAAACTTTCTGTGCAAGTGCCTAACGGCACTTGGCCTTAGTGGGCCATCGATAAATATTTACTAAGACTAAATCTTATGCATGAAAATAATGCTCAAGTTGGAAATAAAGTGTATGACAGAGAGTAGTGGAAGATATAACCTGATGCTGTGAAAGGGATGTCTTCATGTCAATGAAATACCCGGCTGAAGCTTAATATTTAAAGAGACATTCACAGCCATTTTCCTTATCTTAACTTGTGGCTAAGCTAGTCTCACAAAGTATCTTAAGTGTGAGTAATTTGGGCAGCTGTGTGCAAGGTTTGTGTTTGTCAAAAAAAAAAAAAAAACTTGAACATGCTACTGCAAGAGGAGGAAAAGGTAGCAGGAGCTGCCTGCAGAAGGCACAGTGGGGTGGATTCAGGTCAGGGATCAGCCACCAGACCGCCTGCACTGCAGAGCAAAGGTCTTAGAAGATGAGCTGGTGAAATATCTGACCCCTCAGGACATGATGCTGCGATGCTGACATTCAATGGCTCTCTCCAAAGGAACTTCCATTTTGAGTACTGGGGAAACCCTTGCGCAGGAACAGAACTGCAAAGGACCCACTCACCAGCTGGTTCTGGTAGGCCGTGACCGCTGTGAAGACTGTCTCTGGAAAGATGAATGTTCTGAATTCTTCCGACTTCAGATTGAGCAGGGAAGCTGTGTGGTCTTTCTTCTTTATGATGTGCACCCGCGGCTGGTACTTATGCATTGAATTCAAAATTATCTACAGTGAGAAGATGGGAAATCCTGAGTTTCATATCCTTAACCCATCCAATCTGCAACTTCAGGTTCAATTCTAGGACTAGAACCAGCCCTCTCCCTTCCTCTGCCAAGTCATTTTCATACAATTACAGAGTCATCGAGGTGAATGACATTTTACCAAAACAACCGCGAATCCCAGAAGCCATCTTCTAAAACGATGGAGGCAAGAGAGAAGTCATGGGGGGGGGTGGTTCTATGTATTATAGTGTGTGTGTGTGTGTGTGTGTGTAGTGTGTGTGCACACACGTTTCTGCTGGTGTTCCTGTTTGTGTGGGCACATACACTTATGCATGTGGAGGCCAGAGGTGAATGCTGGGTGTTTTCCTCAGTCTATTTCTCTGGACAGAGTCTCTCACTGCACCTGGAACTCACTGACTAGATTGGCCACTGAGCTCCAGGATCCGACTGACTCCACTCTACAGCGCCCCCTGCTGAAACTTGACTTTTATGTTGGTGCTGGGGGGGGGGGGGGTGTCCCAAACTCAGGTCCTTATGTGGCAGGCATGTGAGCAACTGAAGCATCTCCTCAGACCAAGTTTTATTCATTTTTCAAAATCAAGGGGGCTGGAGATATGGCTCAGTGGTTAAGAGCACTGGCTGCTCTTGCAGCAGACCCAAGTTCTATTCCCATGTAGTGACTCACAGCCACCCATAAGTCCAATTCCATGGGACCTGACACCATCTTCCACTTTTGACTTCCATATGACCACCAAGTATGCACATGGTGCATATACATGCGGGCAAAACAAACATATAACAATAAATGAATTTTAAAAATAATAATAAAAAGTCTTTAAAGTATTTTTTTGGTTTTTAATCTATTTAGACCATAAAATGCATGTTTAATTTTCTAAATAAAAAGTAGTATTTTGTAGCAGGCCAGATTGTTATTTACAAAGGAAAAAAGTAAAATGATTTAGAAATACAGTATTGCATTAGGCAGACATGGATTAAAATCCCAAAACTTTCACTTCATGGCTCTTTTATCTTGGCCAAGTGAGCAAGCCTCTCCAACCTAAGTAGCCTCAAATGTGAACTAGGCACTAACTTCACAGGGCCAGGGTGAGGATAGAGGATGTTACTTTTAATTTTGTTTGTATTATTTGTGTGTGCACACAGTTGTACAGGTACACATGGAGACCAGAAGAGGGCACTAGATCCCTTTGAGCTGCATCCACAGGCATTTGAGAGCTACCTCCAGGGGCTGGGATCTAATCTCAGATTCTCAAGACAGAGAAGCAAGTACTCTTTGCCCACTGGACCATCTCGACAGTCCCTGAAGACTGTAGCCCTTCCGAAGTACACAGGAAATAGGAAGTGCTCCAAAATAGGGACTTAAAAAAAAAAAAAAATAACTGACAATTTCTTTAACCACTAACTTCTAATTTCAAAACTAAAATGTGGCTGGAGAGATGGTTCAGAGGTTAAGAGCACTGACTGCTCTTCCAGAGGTCCTGAGTTCAATTCCCAGCAACCACATGGTGGCTGACAACCATCTGTAATGAGATCTGGCGCCCTCTTCTGTATACATAATAAATAAATAAATCTTTAAAAAAAAAAAAAAAAAAACTAAAATGTAATCAGTGCCATGGCCATTCTCCATTCTGTAGCTACTAAAAATTGCAAGTTAGTAATCTTAGTAATGATAATTTGTCTTGGTTAAAAGGGCAGCTACAAAATAGTATTTTCATTCGTTCTACAACTAAAATATAAATATTTTGCCACTGTACAAAATGAGCAACAAAACCTTTCTGTCCTTGTTTGCTCACGTACGTGTTTGTTTCCAGACAGGGTTTACCTCTGTACCCCAGGCTAACCTTGTCTTGAGACCTTGGGAAGTTTCCTGCCTCCGCCTCTTGAGTGCTAGAATTATAGGCATGAGCTACCACATTTGACTGAACAAAACTCATTGTTAGGTATAGTGTTTCCCACGTGTCTCTACTGACAGACAGCTACTTACATGTACAAACGCGGTCTGCCTTTTCTGAAATTGGGGGTTCAGTTCTATCCTCTCCTCAAACACCTTGCGAATCCTCTGGTCTCAGGAAGCACCCCATACACAGTGCATTGGGCCCACTAGGTGATGTTTGCTATTTGACATGGTGACTGAAGGACCCCTTGCTTTCTTGACTAATGTGGATGGGTATGGTATAGGAGGGAGAGTTTCTGATGAGTGCATTTGCAAACTCAAAAATAGATACTGAGGGTAATTGATACTTGGTGGACATCTTCATCTTTGGGTGGTGCCTTTGTAGATTTAAACCACCTTAAATAGGGCCAGGCATGGTTGTGCATGCCTCTAATCCCAGCACTTGGGAGGCAAAGGCAGAGATAGGTGGATATCTGTGACTTCGAGTTCAAGACCACTCTGGTCTACATAGTGAGTTCTAGGACAACCAGGATTACATAGAGGAAACCCTGTCTCAAAAAACCAAAAAAAAAAATCAAATAAAATAACAACTTTAGATCAAAAATATTGTGCCTACACTGAACATATATACTCTTTTCCTTGCCTTTATTCCCTAAACAATTCCGATCAATAACTATTCACATAACATTTGCATTGCATTAGGTATTCCCAGTAGCCTACGTACTACTTAGGAGAAAATTATATGTAAATAGTTGTTCTAATTTGTATAAGTGACTTGGACCATGGCGTCATTATTTTCAGGACACCTTAGAACCAATATCCATAGAAGTAAGAGAACACTCGACCACATAGTATCTCTCTGCCCTCTGACTTGTAAGTCAACCTCAAGTCATTGAATGGGATTGAATTTTGTATCTGCCACTCTTTCAGTCTCAAACCAGAATAAGAGCAACTAAGGAAAAAGAACTCTTCAAATATATGGAAATTAAGTTTTGAAAGAGAGCATTATTTCTCTATATAATGTACTTCCTCCAAGGAGTCCAAGACAATGAGACTTGATCATAGATCTAGAGTCCAGCGGAAGTAACAAAAGCAAATATTTGTCTCCTACTATAAAATGTTTTCCAGCATTCCTTATATGTTCAACTGAGAAGACAAGAAGAACTATTAAATAACATTCCCAGTCACCCACATATACACATACCAAAATGAGAACAAAAAAAAAAACTAACACTTCAAACCTTAAATAACACCCCTCCCACTCCTAAGCCTTCCAGTCTGTTTCCTCTAGCAAGGGGTGCTGAACAACCTCAGACTCTGAGGCTGCTGACTCTGCTCCAGACCTCACAGAGCCAAGAACTACCAACAGAAATGCAAACTGTGCTTTGCTGAGGAAATACCTTCCTGGGAACAGTGGATGCTCCTGTAGGAGACTAAAAACTACATCTGTGATAAAAATGAGAATCTTTGGGCCTGGGGAAATGGCTTAGGGGTTAAGAGCACAGGCTGCTCTTCCAGAGGACCTGGGTTTGGTTCCCAGCATCCACATGGCAGCTCACACACACCTGTCTCTAACTCCAGTTCCAAGGGATTTAACACCCTCACACAGACAAAGCACCAGTGCACATCAAATAAAAATAATTTTTTTTTGCTTTTCGAGACAGGGTTTCTCTGTAGCTTTGGAGCTTGTCCTGGACTAGCTCTGTAGACCAGGCTGGCCTCGAACTCACAGAGATCCACCTGCCTCTGCCTCCCGAGTGCTGGGATTACAGGCGTGCGCCACCACCGCCCGGCTAAAAATAATTTTTTTAAAAAAAGAGAGAGAACCTTCATCAAACTGATTCCAAGAAGCTGGTCAAATAATAAAGTACCTAAGACCCCTTCTTTCTCAGTTTCAGAGGATACTTATTCTGGTGACAAAGGGTAAAATTAAATCATACAAGTTGTAAGGCTAAAATAAACATAAGTGGCCACCAGCAACTGAATAATTTGACAAGATCCAATTGCCACACAATTGGGGTAGATCTCAGAACTCCTAAACCCCAGCTACCCTTGGAGATGATGCTAAAATAAAACATTTAAATTCTGGCTAAATACTGAAGTCTAAAGTCTTTCTGGAGAATACAAAGGAATTCTAAAACTTTCACATGTAGAAAATCCAAAGAAATTTTTTTAAATTGTATTTTCTCTCTGCAAAGATTTCAGTTGGGACATAATCTACTTTAATATGAACCACATTGAATAAGACTGATGACTGGCCTACAAAGAATATCTCAGATAGTTCATAAATCTCAAGCCGAAGATCCACTGAGTGGGAGCAAATTAGGCCAACATTGAAAAGATCTATTATCTTTCCAACAGGTGTAACAGCAGAAGCTCCGTAGCCCACTTCCATGTCTCTCCATGCTACCCACAGTCGCAAGATAACCCGCTCACCCTGATGTGGTTGTAGTAAGCAAGGAAGGTCTCCTGGGGCACAAGGATAGAGACACCTACTCAAGTCAATTCAACTGTTTGAAACCATCTCTAGAACTCTCATTTACTGTCCATTTACATCCATTCTCCTCTATATTCCACAGATCCAATAAAAGAACTAAGCCTTAAAGTCACAAGAACCTTACTTAGTAAAAATAATAATAATAATAAGAGAGATTATATAATTATTATGAAGCTATAATAATTATCCAAAGAAGGAAACTATGAAGGAAATCGTGTTCTTTCTAACAATGAAGGCAAAAACACAGAAATAATCTGTTCAAAAGAAGCATGCAAGTCTGACTTGAGTTTCTCACATAAAATCTAAATGAGAATCTGTCCATATATTTCTATTTAAGAGCACTGAATCATAGGGGCTTGAGAGGTAGCCCAGTGAGTAAGAGTGCTTGTCCTGAAAGCAGAAGGCCCTAAGTTCAAATCCCCAGCATCCATGTAAGAGCTTGGCACCGCTGTGTGCTCCTGCAACCCCGGCACTAGGGGATGGGGACTAAGAGAGGAGGATCCAAGCTCACTTGTCAACTCACCAGACGAGGCAGCGAGCTTTGATTGGGGGAGAGATTCTGCCTTAATACAATAAAGTGAAGACAGGTAAAGGAGACACCAGATGCCTGTCTCTGTCCTCAACATGCATGGCATGGGCACACACACTTATAGACATATGAGTACACACACACACTGGCACGCATGTACATTCAATCACATCCAAGACAGTGCCCTAACAAGGAGCTTAGCAAATGGCAAGGGCCCTTTTGTCAGTGGTTATTTGCTCTATCAACTGCTGACAGAGGATCTGAACTGTATTTTCTCTTTTTCCCACAGCCAATGACTCCTTTTCCCAGATTACAATCAACTCTTTACTCACACAAAATGAAATGTGTTTTTGTTTGGTTTAGTTTGCTTTTTGAGACAGGGACACGGTTGGGACAAGTTATTTGGACCAGGTTAACCTCCTCCTGCCTCCACCTCCCCTGGAGAGATGACAGGTGAGCACTATGTCCTCTGCTCTGTTTGTAATTATTACCAGTATTGTCTGTTTTAACACTTAGGCAGCCAGAACAGCAGAAACTAAAACTTGGAGTTCTGGAAGAGAAGAGTGATAACAGAGCCTGCAGGGAGACATGCAGACTCTCTGGGTGCCTTTTAGGGAAAAAAAGAGAACAACTTTATTTTACAGTTGGATGAAGCCAGACTTCATCTAGAGCCTTAGTAGTCAAGGTCTCTGAGCTCCCTCCCAGACATTCTTCCTCTGAGAGACACACCTGAAGGTGTTTTCCTCCTGGCTTTCACATTGCCTTGCTGTATTCCAGAGAGACATGTGAATGCCAAAGGGAAGATTAACTGAGTCAGAGTTTGCCCTGGACTTCAGGTTTGACCTTCGTGAACTCTTCACAGACTTTTACCAGTCTGTACAGCAACATACAATGTGAATCAACAGCTTTGCACGCTTGTTTGGAAATAAGGCCCTCTCAGTCTGCTACACCTCACTCAGATGATGCACTCTGCAGAACGCACTTAGCAGGCTCCCAAAGGAAGTCTTAGTCTCACTTTTTTATGCAATATTATTAATATACTAACATACATAAGATGTTTAACCAAAAAAAAAAAATGTTTGCTGGCCTCCCCAAATGCACAGTTCCTTTGTTTTGTTGGGAAATGTGGCCAAGTGTTTGCAAAACTGTTAGGAGATCCTTGGCACAGAAGATCCTAGACCCCCTTGTACAACAGTGCCCCATGGCTTCCCCATGAATGGCTTTAACAAAAGCAGTCAAGGTCCCCTGGAGAACATATGCATGTTTCATACAATGACTCAGAGATGGATAGCAGCAAGTTCAGAAGATGTGGGAGAGGGAAAGGCAGAGGGAGGGGAGAAAGGATATTTCACATGACGTGTCCCTTACATCAAGAGAAACAGCAGATCCAAGGCTCTGTACTTACATGGCCATGTTGATCGAGTTCGTTGTTGGTGAGTTTCACCTTTTCAAAAGACACCATCTGTTTGAGGAGCTGCTCACCAGTAAAGGGGGAGTCTGGGTGCACATAGAGCCTGGGAAGAGCATTGGAGAACTTTAATGAGGTGTGTGTTAAGACTCTGTCTTGAATTAAGCATGTTGGCACACGTATCTGTCATCTCAGCACTCGGAAGGCTGAGGCAGGATTAGAGTTTGAAACCAGCCTGGGCTACATAGTGGGATCCTGGATCAAACACATTCGGTCTTTATTCTAAATGTTTTGATCCTAACGGACACATAAACATCATGCAAGGAACACATTTCACTTGTCCCATGTACCTTGGATTTATTAAAATAGCAATGTTGAGATAACTCCAAAGCATCTAACATACTTCATGTCCCAGAGATATTGGAGTAATTAATACATTTTCTATTATCTGCTGAGCAAGCCATTTTTCAAGGATGAGTTTGTTCATTCTCTCTCTCTCTCTCTCTCTCTCTCTCTCTCTCTCTCTCTCTCTCTCTGTCTCTCTCTTTCCTTCTAGTCTACTGGTCTACATTTATCAAATACTTGACCTTACTATTAGAGGCCTTTAAAAAAAACTGTTACAGTAATGTCTAAGTTTCTAATATAGGCATTACTGTCAAGCGATGAAAAGAAACAATTCAAATGAGGAAATAACTTTAGAGAACCAACTCATTTAAACTTAAAAGTGACTCAGTTTAATTTACTAATACAAGTCTGGCTAACTTTCAGTGCAGGACACAGTGAATGCTTTCTAGTTTATGGATCTGAGCTGAGAGCTTCCTGTCCTGCCCACTTTACACGCCAGCACACGGCTGCATTACAACTGTTTATGTGCTGAAAGTTTTAACAATCTAAATAAAAAAAAAAATTAAAGAAAAAACTTAAGCAAAAAAAAAAGCTTTGGCAAGGAAATCTCGTGTTTACTGGTTCGCTGCGCTGCATAAGGAATGCACACTCACTGTAGAAGGAAGGCCAGCCATTCTGTCACCCTGCGGTCACACTAAGTGCGGCCCTTCCTAAACCCTCCCCCACTGCCTTCCTCACGCAATCCTTCAAAATCAAAGTGAGATGATGAATGCGAAGGAGGGCGAAATCCTCTTTTGCATAAGACAATTACATTTTCCCTTTCTTTCGTTTTTTTTTTCTTTCTTTTTCTGTTCTTCTTTTGTTTTTGTTTATGTGCTGGGAATTGACCTCTGGGCTCAATGCATGCGAAGCTCACATCGTATCAAGGAGCCCTTTATCAGCAGCCCTGACAAATTCCTTTACTCACATGTCAGCTTATTTGTGTATAAATTCTACATACCATCCTTATAGCTGGAATTCATAAATAGTTTTGTTGGGAAAAGCAGGAAGAAAGGTCATAGAACAAACATTACTGGCAATATTTGGGTAAAGAATGAGTACTCTGTGCCACGGTCTACCATACAGAAAGACTAAGATCAGAAGAATCTGTTCCGTTGCTGAAATGGATGAAACAGGTCGGGAGTGAACCTCCTTGAGGCTGACAGTACCGGAGTCCCACCCCACCCGCAGGGGAACTCTGCAGGCCTCAGAAGCTTGTTTCTCTCTCCGTTTTCTGGAGGGTGCTCATAATTGTCTTGTAAATACAAGTATACTTTGATAGTTCGAATACAATACCATGTCAAGTTTTAGCTCTCCAAAGGTATAATTTTACAAATCCTGTTATTTTATTGATCAGTATCACATCATCCTTCTCTCCTAGGATCCCAGTTTACTAAAAGATCTAGAAATTGATGACATGCTCCTCCTTTATCATATTCACTATATGTAATCACATTAGCATAGATATGAATTTATTTAAATATAAATTACAGTAGTGGTATGAAAATGTAGCATTACTTTGGTCATGAATAATGTTGTGCCTGTTACAACTACCAAATAATATTATGAAGTATTGTGTTTCCTGATTACAAATCACTGACTTCGGTCTGAGGGGGAAAAAAGGGCTTCTTTGATTCAGAAGTTTCTTAGAAACTGACTTTCTACCATCAGCTCAAGCATTCTGATTTCCCAAGTTCCTTCCTCTATGGAGGTGGAAAATCTAGGAACTATTTTCTGTAATAATAATAACCACCAGGAATTTCCATTAATTACCTGAAATGTTTCCATGTCATGGTTTTATCTAATATTAATTTAAATAAGCCAAACCAGGATACATGAAACAACATAGAGGACCCCCCTCCTCCCTCACCCCCTCCTCCCTCACCCTCTCCTCCCTCACCCTCTCCTCCCTCACCCCCCTCCTCCCGACCTAAAATTCCAGCAATAGCTTACACATGCTTCAGTTAAGATAGCACACTGGTAGGCACTTTTTCTCTAACCAGAACAGATTAGAAACATAAACAAGCATGTCATATTTATGAAGTCCCGCTGGCTTGCAGCGTCTAGCCATATTTTCAGAGAGGAAGAAAATAGGAGATAAATAAGAGTAAAAGACAAAAGAAAAAGAAAGGCTAGAAAAGCCAAAACCAATGTGTGCTTAGAAAAATGGTTAGGAATCTGCTCAAGTTCCTTCTCTCCCCCCTTTCTCTTTTCTCTTTCAGATCTCTGTTAAAAAGAAATTAGAAACTGAGCACTTGTGAGCCCAGTCATTATCTATGAGTTTGAGGACAGCCTGACTGCATAATAAGACCCTGTCTCAAAAAAAAAAAAAAAAAAAAGAATTTTTTAACTGAATTGGCTTTTCAAAAGTAAATAATAGAAAACGCCAATTCTACTAATTTTAATATCTATTACAAAGCATTGCTTTTTCACTTGGAAGAACAAATGGCCATTTACAAGTATTTCTTAGTCCTAACTGTTTTTACTATGCTGACTCGGAAGGCTCGGAGGCAGCTTTCCTGGTCTGTTTTAAGAACGAAAAGCCAGAGTGCTGTTATCTGCTTCCTGGTGCCTCGAACAGGCTGGAAGACAATAATGTGATCTCTGCTGGTGGAGGTGGTGCTCCCCGGGACTGTGTCCGCCACCCCGCTGGGTGTCTGTAGTGTCTGTGGCTGCAGACTAGATGCCTACAAAGAACCAGCCACACCTTCAAGGATCTGTACATCGAAGTAAATGTTTACCTGTGATCTAACTTTCAATCAATTACCAAAAATTCGTCATGAAACAGGCAGTTTCTTTGGAAACAATGGAGTCAACACATGCTGTTCGCTTTATATTAACATCTGCAGACAGACCCCTATAACTCCAGCTCTTACACTATTCCTCCTGAATGCTCCTTTGAGTAAAACGCTCATGAGGAAGGCTCATAGAGACATTTAAAAACATTATTAGCAAAGGTAACCAAGAATACAAACTGCATTGTCTCCAATATATTAGCTGTGTTTAATGTAAAAGAATATTAACTTATTGAATTATGCTTATCCATCAAAATTGTGGAGGGGGAAGAAGAAATTGCTGTCCTTACCTAAAACCTGTGAGTCTTCTGTGGGTCAAAAACAACCAGTTTTACCCAAATGATGCTAAGCATATGCAGATGTAATCACACTGATAACAAATGGCTAAAAATGTCATAAATATTTTATGCACATGAAGATTTTAGGGCAGCTATCAGCATATTTATTTATTCTTACTCTAAGCACTCTATCAGAAATATTATACATATACATATATCTCAAAAAGGTCACGTTTCTAACAAATATTTAAATTGAAATTTCACGAATATCTGGGATTAATTTTGAGAGATAAAATTAAAGGCAATGTTTTCTCTATGCACAAACTTCACCTTTCTTGAAGACTAACCGACATGTTTTGTTTTCATTCCTGCGGTGTCCGGGCTTGGAAATCTCTCACGCCAGAGCCCGGTGGTTAAAAACAATTCGCTTAAAATTCACATAAATCAGAAAGGTTAATACCACTTTAATCTTCAAGAAGTCCAAAGTCACGAACCTGGCTGGCAAGGGAGGGTCAGCCTTGCCGGCTACCAGCCATGAGGACCGGTGGTAGGCGTAGCGATACCTCTTGTTGTCCACCGGGACGATGTCCATCAGGACTATGTACTTGGCCTCAGGATCCACTCCAGAAAATGACACGCGGATCGTCGGGAACATCCTCCTGGCAGAGAGAGGAAGAGGCGGGCTTCACTCTTTGTAAAGAGCTGACCCGAATTAGGGGGGAAAGGAAGAAAGTTGGAACCACCCTCTATGGAGTCTCAATTTCCCCTTTGGTTGTTGTTGGTTTTGTTTGTTTGTCCTGTTTTATTTCGTTTATGAACCCTCATAGATGTGCCTACAGAGACAGAACTTTCCCCTCTAAAAAAGATTCTGTTTCTTTTTCGGGGGCCCCAACTGATAGGTAAAAAATTTGAGCTTGTTTTGTTTTCTCCCAAACAACCAGAGGTGACTCAGTTGCATAACCCATCAAAAATCCCGGGCATTCCTGAGGGAGGGGATTCGTGGAGTTGGTTTCAGAGACTAGACAGGAATCGCCCAGGGTCAGGCTCTAGCGAGCATCCCGGCTCACACGCCCGGGGGGCCGCCACCCGGGCCTCCACTACCCGGAGTTCATCGGTCTTCCGCTAGGGTTTTCAGCTGGGTTTTTATTGGAAGCAGGAGGCTTCGGCAGACTGAATATAGCGCGGAGCCTCTCCTTCCCCTTCCTGCAGTCCCCAGCCAAGCTCCCGCCAACCGGGCCTTGCTTCGAACCCAAGATACCTGGGTGGGAGCAAAGACCTGGTTGCGTGGCAAGGTCTCCTTCTCTGGGTGTGGGGTCTTGCAGCCAGACCCTGCGATTGCAAGACCTTCTTCCAATTCCGTGACTCTTTCTCAGGGAGCTGGCGGGAAGCGGAGGCCTCTCAGCTCAGCCACTGCTCTGACCCCTGCCCGGGCAGCTCCCACTCCAGCCCCCCCGGGAGCGCAGCCTGAACCCTTTGCTCAGTCCGGCTCCCGTCCGCGCCAACTACCTTCCGGACTTGGTGATGATCATCTCTGTGCCCAGTTCATGGAATTTGTCCCAGAGCTCCTTCGTTTCCAAGCTGCAGGCGATTTTAGCCATCTCCTCGCTGGGGATGATGGGGGTGGTGGGGATCAGTGGCTCTGTGCAGAGAGAGGATGAGGAAGGGCTGCCGCCCCCGCTGCCGAACTCCGCGTGAGCATCCAGGCTGGTGAGCTCACCCAGGGGCTGGGCGCAGGACGACTTCTCCACGAATTGTTCTGGAGGCAATGAGAAGAAAGATTGACTGCTGACACTCGTCAACAAGGAAGGAGCTGGGCAGAGCACCCAAAACAAGCCCTTGGGTCTGGTGCCGCTAAACTTGGAAACTCAAGCAGAAAAGTGTGATCCATCACAGTGCAAAAATGTACCTGAGACATGCCCGGTGCTGGACACTAACCGAATCTAATAAGCAGGATCTGTCTGGAACCAGGGCCTATTACCGACGTGGATGAAGCTACCTTAGGAACAGAATATGAGTGAAGAAAGGGAAAACTTGTGATCTTGAGGGATAGAATGTAAATATCACAACAATCATCCCAAATTCTAGGCTTTTCAGCTACAGAGGGAGGCACTAGAAAGATACCAGCATCCAGTTTGTTAAATCACAGCGGTGGGCTCTAAAAGACGTGTGTGTGTGTGTGTGTGTGTGTGTGTGTGTGTGTGTGTGTGTGTGTGTGTGTGAAGACTGACACAGATTACTGGAGAGATAATCTATGCGACTGTTTGTTTCCTCCAAATAGGCAGGAAAGTGAGGGAAACAACTTCAATCCTGGTCTATTAAATTAAAGAGAGAAGAAGGTTTTGCCATCTACCAGTGGGTTGAAAATATCACCCTATGAACCAGACACTCTCCTGTACAGCTGATAAAAGACCTCCACAGGAACTTTGGTGGAATACAGGGGAAGCTTTCAAAATCCGGCCAACCAGCTTTCATTTCTTAAAAAAGAAACTACCTGAATCTGCAGTGTGTAGCTAAACCCCCAACCAAACCAGTATACTCTAACTACTCTCAAGGAAAACCACAGAGTTCTAGTTACCTGCATGCACATGTGTGGTGTGTGCTTGAGTTTGTTATGAAATGATTTTTTTTATTCCTCATGCTTCTTAACGTGAGGCTAATGGAAAATAGGGTTTTGCCCTTTCTTCTCATAAAGTAATAATCCAGCTCATGGAAATGTTTTAAATGAAGGATAACCAAATTAACTGTTGTGCAGGTTGTTTCCAAATCAGAGGAAACCAGAGAGTACCGACACTTTATTTTCTGGAAACACCTTAGGAAGGGAACCCACACCCACATATTTACAGGGAATCAAAAAGGAACCTGAACTTCTCCATTTTCCAAGGACTGACAGGTGAGCTTTCTCAGCCCCACCTGGCCTGAGCATCACGGAAGGTGGAGAAGGAAGACAAGAAAGCAGAATTACTCAAGTGGTTATGTTGAGTAGAATTAATGTACTTGAGTGGTGGAGCGAGCGTGGGACACAGAAACCCACCCCTTACACTTCTGTTTTCTTTTTCAGTGAAGACATCCCACTGCCTCTCAACGGATCCCTCAGTGTTTCTGCCTTCAAGTCTTCGATTTAGTCATTTCTTGTGCTCTGTTGGACTGGTGAGTGTAACGGATAAGAAGGTAATAAACAAGAGCTATTCCCAAAATTCCCAAACAAGTGAACGAACTCCATTCGGACACCGGACAGGGTAGGGGTGGGGGGGGAGGGAGGTTGTGGAGAGCTGGGATTGGCTTAGCATTTAGAATTTGTAATTTTGATTGAAAGGAGGGGTGCTTAGAAAAATTAAAGAAAAGACTAATGTAGATATGATAGTAGTGGAGTTGGCAAGCCTCCCAGACCACTGCTCACATGTCTGTCAGGAATTTTAACCTGAGATATTCATTTCCTACTGGGTACCAAAATGAGATGGAGGTATTCAAGAAGAATTCTCTCCCCTAAGTAGGAAGGACAATGGTACTGATACATCTCAGCAGTCCAATTTTGAAATTAGTAGCCAATGATATGTCTGGAAAAAAAATGAGGATTTGGTGGCTAGCTCACTTGCTCTCCAAGGTTTTGACTTAGATGGAAGTTGGTGAGAACCGGGGAGGCAGCTCAGAGCTCATGTTTAGACATGGGTTTAGGGGAACTTGCGTTTCCTTCTTAGTTTCAAGCTGTTTTGCTTTTCAGCTCTCTCCTGTCCCTGTGTAAGCTCCTTATTTTTCCGAGCCCCTTAAGGTTTCTTCTTGGCTGTTATCTTGGATGTGATATGTATTAGAGTCGGGAAAAGATAGAGAAAAGAAAGAAAAATTAGTGAAAGTTTTAAAAAAATGCCTTAAGTTAGTTATTTGATTCCTGTCAATATTTTAAGAATAGTGGTGATTAGGTTGTGTGATAATTATTTCCTAAGACCCGAGAGTGAAAGACAACTCTTTCTCTAAGGGTTGTAAGGGGTTATCAGAACCCTTGTCAGGGGCATTTGTTTGCATATTTCATACAACTCAAGTGTGCTCCTGAGAACCTCACCTCTCCTCCCTTCAGTCTGATCCTAGTGTCTTCTATAAAGAAAACAGTTTATGCAAAAACAGTGTAACTAAATGTCGAGGAATTTGGGGAGGCCTTTTGCTAATCTCGACTGAAAATGGCCAGTGTCAGTGAGGGTTACTGATGAGCCCCGCGCTTCCTTGGAGAAAGCGGCTCCTGTATGGAAGACTTATTTTACAGCCCTTTGTAGAGCTGTTAAGCCTGTTTATTGTGATGGAAAAATTAAACTGGTTTCTTGTGAAGTTGCGCAGCGGCTTCCATTCCAAGCGCATGCTCAGGTGTTACACGCACTGTGAATTCTGGGTCTTAAAAAAACAAAACAAAACAAAACAAAAACTTCTTATTTGTCCTTGAACTTGTTTTCATTCAAATTTGCACATCATGCATACTGTCTACTTGACCTCGGGATTCCAGGAAACTGGGGAGAGCGACTACAAACACAGCCTGGATTCCCACGACCTTTAGTTGATGGAGAAGCCCCAAAGAAAACTTGGGCAGAGAAGGAAAAAAAAAATCTCCCTCCCCGGGACCTATACCTGGTCAACTCAGAAGCGCATCTGGCCAGGAGAAAAGGCCACCCTTGCTGCCCACGGAGCAAACCGCCTGTAGCCAGGGGACGTAGAGAAACACGGCCCCTACGGACGGCCTAGCACCCCGACTTACCCAGGGGTTTGATGGTGTTTTCTGCTGCCTCCTTCTCCTTGGGGCCACCGCTGGACATGAGCGCGGCGATGGAGAAGGCATTGGCTCGAGAGGAGAGCTGGGGCTTGGGCGACGCCGTGAACTCCATGGTCCCCAGCGTGCGGTCCTGGTCAGGGACCGGGCCTGCCAAACCGCAGTCCAGCTTCTCCCAAGGGAGACAAAGACCCGAAACGCAGCTCAAAGTTCCCGAGTGCCGTCAGAGCGGAACTGGGGACTCCCGAAGAGTCCGTCCCCACGTCCCCAGAGCTCCACGCTGGCCTCTCCAGCCCGCTAGAGCAAAGCCAGGGAGCTGCGCGGAGACTTGGAACCAGCAGGAAAGCAGGGTGTGGACCAGCCGCGAACTCAAAACTGTGTGCTAGCCGCCGGGCACGCCAAACATCAACTGCGCAAAATGCAGGGTGCCCAGCACCCACGCCGAGTCCCCCCTCCCTCCCCTGCTGGGGACCGAAGAGTGGCCCAGGCCACCGAGAAGTGATGACCCGCTGTGGGACTCTCGAGGGTGCGGAAACCAGGGAGCCGGATCGCCGTTGTGCTGAGCGCAGCAAGGCGCGACCAACACTGCGCCTGGGCGCCCGCTGCCCCGCGCCTTAATTTGCTGGCCGTGGCCGTCCCTGCCCGCAGCAGCCAGTCAGTGTGGTCTCACGTCACCGCTTCCTGGCTGTGCGGCACGGGGCGGGGCCAAGCGGCGCCTGGAGCCAGCGCCTGGGGCGCGTCGCCCTCCTGCCTCAGCGCTCCGGGAGAAGAGCTGGGCACCCCTCACAGTAAACATTGCCACCAACAGGGTGACGCAGCTGCCTCTGCCACCTCTCTCAGATCCCGTAGCCTGGAGCGGCACGGGATGCCTGGAGCGGCACTTGCACTGCCGCCCAGAACCAGGGATGCGCGTGTGGTGCAGGATCCAACGCCACCAGAGGAAGCCTCAGCGAGTTTTACAGTTTCCACTATGTCCTACGGCGTTCAAAAGTTCCCAAATAGATGAGAAGAGTAAAGCAAGTTCCTCATCGCTGAGCGGCATTAACCTCGCAACGCCTCACAGTCCCTAGTTCTGGGTTCCCCACTTGACGGTCCCCAAGTTACATCTACTTTCAGAGAGCTGGAGAGCTACATCCCTGGGAAAGAAATTTTGAGCTGCAGGGATCGTGTAGGAAGATGCTTTTTGGCGAACCAGGGCTTCTGCTGCGCACCGGTTTCTTCTAGGCTGAGTTTTCTATTCCGAAGACCGACTCTGAAAAGTAGGGCAGTGGCCCGAAGCAAAGACCAGGGCAGGGCAGGGAGCCCTGCGGGGGCCACGCGACAGTCACTGGGAGAGTGTGACCTTTCCAACGTTCTGGCTTTCGGGGACACGGAACCATCTGCCTTGCAGACCCCGCTAGGACCAGGGCTTCCCACGACCTTGTGGAAGGAGTTCTGTTGGTCTTGCCCAGTCTAAATAACTCAAATTCTCCAAATTCGCAGGGTAATCCGCTTCCCTTGCAGCCGTGTAAACTCTAGAGGACATACACACACACTCTCAAGCTATACTTGTAAATATTTGCTCTCCTTTCCAGCCAGTTGGTCTAGCGATTAGGAACCTCTTGGTAGGACTTAAGGTGGGGGGAAAGAAAGAACGGGAAAAAAACAAAAACGAAAATAGTCCTGTCTCCCACTGCATCCTCTCTCTTCACAGCTCCTGAAACAAAGTTATAAAGGAAACCAAAATAACTATTAAGACCATCCCGTGTAAGCAAAACGTTGGCATCTGAGGAAGTTCTGATTTAGGCTGGCCTGGCCATCCTGTCAGTGTCTCCTCGGTTCAACATCTCTGTCCAAATGTGAAGTATCAATGTTGGGAAAATTCGAAATTAGTAGAACTACAGACTTTTCATGCTAGGTTGTTTGTTTACTCCTTGTCTGGGCCACCTCTCACTTTTAAACAGTCAAAGGTGACAATTTTGTCAGAGCATCGCCTCTTCCCTCCAGGTCTCCTCCCAGCTAGAAAGAGCCTGAAGCTCCAGGCTCACACTCCAGTCCAGGTCCTGATCAGATCCAGTCTCTGCAGCTGTGGCTGTGGAGGAGTTCCTAAGGGGGCTAAGGCCAGATGGCAGAAAGCTTAGAAGATACACGCAGGGATACATATCCCTGCGTATATCATATATATATATATATATATATATATATATATATATATCCCTGTATACAATGTATTTTTATATTTTTGGTTGTGAGCCTAGCCTTTAACAGCTGAGCCATCTCTCCAGCCCACAATGTATTTTTTTATTATTTACTTTGTGCTGTGTGTGCCCGTGAGTACCGCATGCGTGCATGCAGGAGGAAGCCAGAACAGAATATCAGATGCCCTGGAGCTGAGATTACAAGCTGTTGTAAACCCTCCCTGCGGGTGCTGGGAGTGAACTCTTCCAAGTCCTTGGGAAGAGAAGCAAATGCTTTTAGCTGCTGAGCCATCTCTTCTGGCCTTATATACAATATCCTAATCAAGGTAACATTTTCTTTTTATTATAAGGTTCACACTGTCTTGCTTCTTGTTTTGAATTTTTAGGATTTGTCAAGGAAGATGGATTTCTCTCAAGAAGTGGGGTTTTTATTTGGGAGAGAGAAGAGGTTAATAAAGACCGATAAAATGCTTCAACTAATATTGCAGGTTTTGTTCGCTATATCTAGTTTTCAATAACTTGCTGTGTCATTATACCTCAATTGATAGAACTTCCTATTTCATCTTGTATAAGGGGGTACTACTTTATTACCTTAATGACTTAGATTAGAGTTGGAACAGCACCTGGGAGATACATTTCAGAGACACTCATGGAGCACAGGAAAGCTGAATTGCGGAACTCACTGTCCACATTCTTACACGCGCCACCTTATCCCAGTTCTGGGACTTTTGTGGGCAGGAAATCACCCAAAGGCAGGAGAGGCTGAGCAAGTGGGAGGAGGGAGCAAACTAAAGGAACGGAGACGGACTCTTAAAGAAATCCAGGGGCCAGAGGTGTGCCACTTGGGTGTCCCTAAGCGATGCGTCTTGGTGTTGAAACCATCACCCCAGTGAAACATTGCTGCAGGGTTATTATCCTGGTAAACCATTCCTCCTCTTAATTCACGGCCTTTGCAAATCAACGTGTTGCTCTAAGAAGGGGAGCCAGTGCCGGCAGAGAGGTGTTGCCACGTGGTAATTCAAACTTTCCGCCTTAGGAAGCTAAGGGTAACTAGTTCTGAGGTCCCTTTGAAACCCTCAGGGAGCAAGGGTTAACACGTAAAACCACCCATGGAGCTAGAACAAAGCAATCACGTCCACACTTCCCTCGACCCTGCCCAGGCTGATGACAGGCTGTGTGTTCAGGCTGCTTTCAGATACCGGCAAAGGCATTGGATTTGAAGAAAGCTTTGAGTCTTGACTTTTAACAAGGGTTAGCGCTGGAGTTTTGTAGGCTTCCCAAACCCATCAAAACTTCAGTTCCATCATCGACTTTAAAATGGGACTAATACTTCCATGTGGTAGATAGTTCTGTGAGTTAACAAAATCCTCAGTGTGTATAAAACACCCAACGATAAGTAACATCGATTACTCTACAAAAGCAAAACAACGCAGCGTTTTAATTATTTGATTTTGAGCTGCATACTCTTAATGGCAGAGACATCAGATAGTTTTGGGATATATGCTGAAGATTGGGACCACGTAAAGGTGCTGGGACTACCACAGACAGTTAAGCTTCAGAGCTGACAGAGCCATCTAAGGTTTTGATATTTGTCTAGAAGGACTGGACAATGCCCGCTCATATAAGACATGTATTTTAGAAAATTCTCTTTTGCAGCCCCCAGAACCTAGGAGCTTCGTCAACCCCCAAAACTCCAGGGAGTAATCCGCGACCCGCATTCTGCCAAGGTCCCTCACTTAACGAATGCTGTCTGAACGCTTTGCGAGGAGCTGCTGGGACAGATCCCGCGTAGGTCTAGCTGACAGTCCGCAGGCGCCGCGGGCAAGAGCTGAGCCCGGGCTTTGGGCCAGGTACCAAGCAGAGGGCGCCACTAAGCAACTGGGGTTGGGAGGCAGAAGCCAAGGGCAAAAGGGACATCCGCTTCTCAGCAAACAGGCAACTACTTCCGAAAATGACCCGAAGTCTTGTCCGGATTCTCCTTCGGTTCTTCCGGGTAAACTCTGTAAAAGAGACAGTAAAAGGCCACTGTGCCTTTGGATCATTAAATTTCGTTTAAAGAGGAGGAAAGACGCCCCAAGAAGTGGGAGGAGCTAGGCGAACTTAGCCCTAAAAAGCCTTAGAGGCGCGTTCCCTGCGCTGCGCGGGGCTGGGTAGGGAGTGCTGCAGCTGGCCTGGAGAGATCCCAGCCTGTGCACCCAAGGCCTGGGTTGGTGCCCAAGCACACGGTCAGCCTTAGGTATTCTTGAACTCCTGTGGTTCGTTGGAAGCAAGAGCGTGAGTCCCAGCCAAAAACGCAGGACGTGGCCCTGAACATTCAGATCAGACCTGCTGGGGACCCTGGTTGCCCTATGGCTCCGGCTCCGGACGACTTCATCCAGTTCCCTTTCTGAGGTCAAAGCACAACCATCCTGTGCTGGGGGGCTGGGTGAGCGCGAGCGATTCACCTGGGATCTCACATTCCTGCTCAGCTTAGACTGGGAGGAGATGGATGCGGTAGGGACATTAGGCAATTGGCATCCAGGGTCCACGTGATCTGGAGATTAGGGACGTTAGTGCGGACGTTTATTTCCTCAGCTGCAAGCCAGTAGCTGAGGAGGGCGCAGCCTCCAAGGCCTCGCAAGTCCTTGTGGGTCCGGTCCTCTGCTTGTCCTGAGTATCTACCTGGTCCCATCCCGCAACTAGCGCCATCGGACCTGAGGCTACTCAGGCTCACATTCGCTCCACACTGTGCCTCTTCACGTCTTCCTCCCCTTTTTCTATGAAGTGCATCCCTCTGGCCCCAAACCACCCGGCTACTGAAGGCTGCTATTTAAAATTCAAGGATTCCAAACATTTCGACTTTCAAAATCACATTAAAGTATTTGCTTGATTGCTGAGGTTTGGGATACTTCTAAATGGGGGGGGGGGGGGGCTCTCACCTGGTCCCAGGCTTGTTAGG